ATGACTTAGATTCGACTTGACAGCAATAGGTTTCATCTTTATGGAAGCAGACTGCCATATCTTTCTCCCATGGAGCGGCTGTTGGGTTCAAACCATCAACCTTCTGGTTGGCAGCCAAGTGCTTAACCATTGAGCAACCGGGGCTCCTTAGTAGTACTAATACCAAAAAAACCAAACCCATTGCCACTGAGTCAATTCCGACTCACAGAGACCTTATAGGACAGACTAGAACTGCCCCATAGGGTTTCCAAGGAGCGGCTGGTGGATTCGTGCTGCTGACCTTTTGGTGAGCAGCCAAGCTCTTAACCACTGCGCCACCAGGGCTCCAGGAGAACTAATAACAGGTGTCAGTTACTGGTGCAACGGTGGGAAATTCATCCCTGCTATTTCTCATGCTCCACACGACAGTCTTACTCTGGGGATGCAATTCCACGTGTCATAGGCAAAGCTGCTTCCTGGGGCAGCCAGCAATGTTTCCTCATTGCATTAAAACCCTCACAAAGGCAGGAGGAAAACAAAGAAAACAAAAAAACCCAGAAAATAGTGAGAAGTTTACTTTTGCTACTGGAACGACCGATTAGACTGTTGCTTCGGAGGTCTCTTTCGGCTGTAATACTGCATAGTTATGAGAGTATGTAAAGACCAGATGTATTAACCGGGCTCACGTTTTCACCTACTGGTAGCCTCTTGAAGGTTTTGCACATTTTCTTCAAAATGATTTACCATCTGTAGAGTTTTTTTTTCTTATTATCGTGGAACAATACACAATAACATAAAATTTTCCGTTGTAACCACTTTAAAGTGTACAATTCGGCAGCTTTAAGCGCCTTCACAATGTTGTTCTTCCATCAGCGCTGTCTAGTTCCAGAACTCTCGCATCACCCCAAAAAGGAGACCCATACCCATTAGCAGTCACTCCCATCCTCCCCTCTAACCAGCCCCTGGCAACCACCAGTCTGCTTTCTGTCCCCACCTAGGGCCTCCTCAGGCCTCCCACCCGTGTTCTGGAGCAGACAGGCCGGGCTGGTTTCAGGGAACGTTCATATCTCTGTGTGTTTCCATTTCCTTATCCACAAAATGGCGCTGACAACATCTTCTTCCTCATAGACTCTTGTGAAGATTCAGTGTATGTCTGCTGTGTCTGACTCAGGAACTCTTGGTGCCTTTACTTCCCCCCAGCCAGGATTCTTTCTGGAAGACTTTCATTTGTAGATTTCTTCATGCTTATCAAAGTATGGAATGTGTCCCCTCTAAGTGGCTGGAAGGACACGAAATGGACTTGATGATCAAGCATTAGATGAAGAAGAGCAGAAAAGAAGGGGCTGAAAAAGAAGTCCTCCTGGGATTCAGAGACAAAAGACGTCAGGAGGGGCCGGACCTACCGGGAAAGGCTTTGGAGGGGGCGAGAGACTCGAAGTCCCTGTCTGCGTCTCCTCAGCATCTGACTCAGTAGCTGGTACGTGCTGGTTGAACTGAACTGAGTCTCAGGTCTGGGTGTCAAGAAGATCAGCATAGCCTGAGCCAGGACAGAAAGAAATCCTGCCCTTCCTGTCACCCCCCTAATCCCCCAGCCCACATACACACACTGACACACCCCAGCCCTACCAGGGACCAGCCTGGAGATCCCGGAGCAAGCAGATGGCATTTGCTCGGGGGCAGGTGGGCACCCAGAGCAAACACACAGGCCAGCTCAGGGGGGGTCATGGTTGGTGTGCCCTCCAGAGGGGGCACCCTGTCACACCACCCGACTCCAAGAGCTTCCCAGGCCTTCTTCTCTCTCCCTGGCTGGCCCCGAAATCATCCTAGCGGGCATGCCCCCCCCAGACTAAAACCCCAACCCAGGCCTAAGGCCCCCTGGCTAGTTTTCTGACTCCGTGGAAGGCAGGGGCGGGCCTCCTTTGGCGGCTGGCTCTTGCTTCTGGCTCACCAAGCAGCAGGCCCCGATTCCTGGGCCCTGGGGGACACCGCTCCTTCTGACCCCAGTCCTGTTTCCACTCTCTGGGCCCAGGGACGCCTACAAGCCTGCAGCCCACACCTGCGCGGTCCATGAGCTTAGCTATTCAAAGGCAATATCCTGAAGGAACTTGTCTCACTGCCTGTTTGGGGGATGTGTCTGCCTAAAGACAGCACTTTATACACTCTTCATTTCTCCCTCCCAGTGTTGGCAAAGGGATCAGGAAACCATACGCTCATCCTGTTGGTGACTTTCAACGGGTCCACGTATCCAGGCCAAAGTGGACTGTATGCATGAAACGACTTAAAATGTGCATAACTTTCGATCTCGCGGTTCCTTCTCTAGGACTTGATCCTGGGAAAACAGACAAGTGTACGCAGACGTGTGTACAAGATGGTTCATCAAAGGACTCTGCTTAAAAACAATCCTCAAAATGCCAGCATTAGGGGATAGGTCGAGTAATTATGGTACATCAATAAAATGGAATCCAATTAACTGTAAGACACAATGGTATCGGTCTATATTTATTGATATAAAAGAATGATCACAAGTGAAAAGTGGTTACAAAGGTACGTAATGCTAATAAACCAGTTGTCCAATTGATTCTGATTCACGCTGACCCCATGTGTGTCAGAGTAGAACTGTGCTCCATAGGGTTTTCAGTGCCTGATTTTTTTGGAAATAGATTGCCAGGCCTTTCTTCCAAGGCACCTCTGGGCGGACTCCAAGCTTTCGGTTAGCGGCCAAGAGGGTTAACTGTTTGCACCACCCTGAGACTCCCATAATGATAATAAGCAACTTTTATTAAGTGCTTACGATGTGCCAAGCATAGTCTAAGACCTTCGCGTGTGTTAAGTCATTTAATCTTCACAACAACTTCCATTCGGAAAGAAAGGTCATTTTCCCGTTTTACAGGGGCTCAGGGAGGTTCCGTGACATGCCCAAGGCACACACTACTGAGCAGTGGCCGGACTTCGCGGCAGAGGGTCACATTGTTTAACAAACAAAACAAAGTAAACAGTATAGGGCTTTGTGTGTGTGTTTAAAAAGTCTAGGAGGATTGAAATGAAAATATTAACTGAGGCATTATTCTAAAGTATTTTTATTTTGGTATTTTTTAAAAAACACAATACTTTAAATTCCCGGCCTTTAAAAAAATGATTTCTGTGAGATGAATGTACTATGTGATATCAGAGCTCATTCCCCAATTCTACCCAGCACCCAGGCTCGTGAAGAGGTTGATGAACGCAGGCTGTCGGATGGAGGGTCGGGATCACTAGCTAACTTCGACAGGGATCTCAAGGATCGGCTCTCTTTCGGTCTCTTCCATCTGCAGTCTGTCCTATCTCGGACCGCTCGAGGTAGCCTTTCTGCAGACGTACTGAAGAAACGCAAGGGCCAGACAGGGACCACCTCTGATGCTGTGGAACGGCCCCGGGCCTTCTTCAGATTTAAAGTTACTCAGTTTTTCTTTTGTCTTTTTCTGGCTTGTCTTAAGAAAGAAAGGAGGGGATGTGGAAGTGTTTGTGGAGAAGTTTTTCCTTTCTGCTTTGGTCTCCTTAAAAGGGACATGTTTAAGCCATTGCGTTTCATTTAGAAACTGCTTCTGTTACCCATAGCCGATCCCGCTTGGTGCGGCTTCTCATCAATACAGGCGCCCGAGGCGAGGAGAGAGCGAGAGCGTTTACTGCAAGCGGGCAGGCAAAGAGCAAGCGGGAGTACACCTCAAATCCAGCTCCCTGAGCACAGGGAGGCAGAGCCTGTCATACCTTCCCTCACAAGCAGGTACACACAAACGTCATGGGCTACACAGGTTATCAGGGCGGCAGGTGCAGTGAGACAAACGGCATTTTTTCTTTGGCACGTAGGCTAGTAAACTGGGTTTGACTGGCTGGAGCCACACCCAGGGCTCTGAGGACAACGGATGGGGTGGAGCAGGTTCCACTTGGCCTGAGCAGCTCCCAAGGGAGCCACACCACCGCCATCAATTAAGGTTTGGGACTGATAAGGGCTACGCGGTGGCTGTCACTTCCAGATCAGCTTCTCCAGGTCTGGGGGGTTCCCAGGGCCCTCTGCCACTCTCAGAGTCCAGGTTCCCTATCCACTGGTCCCAAGACCTCCCTGTGCCCTAAATGCCCCTCCTTGCTGCTATCCACAGGACAAGGCTTGCTGGTGGCTAGGACATGCCCACTACAGAGAGGACCCGGAGGGTGCAGCCCTTTAACACAAACCTACAGAACGACAACAACCGCTGCCCAGGTGCCGTCCGTGAATCATCTCATCCGGCCATCACGACGGCCTACCAGGTAGGTGTGACTGATCCCAAGCTTTTGGGGATGAAACGGATACTCAGAGAGGTTTTGTTACTTACCAAGCTTCCACAGCCAGGAATTAAATACAGACTTGGCTCCAGAGAAGAGTTTCCTCAGGGTACTCTCCTGCCTCACAGTGACTTACCCAGCTGCATTTCCTTGATGTTTGTTTGTTGACCGATTGATTGATGGACTGGGGTGGGGAGAATAAGGGGTGGGGAGTTTGGGCACGAGGGAGGGAGAATTTAAAAAGGAAAAACAATTTTTGCATTTTGAAACCATGAAAGTACCTCACTCTTTCCAGAAGGTGGGTTACCTAGCTACATTTCAGGGATTAAACACGCACACACACACATATACATACACACACACACTCAGACACATACACAGACACACACAGACACACAGACACACACAAACACACACATACATACACACTCACACACACACTCGCACACACACAGACACACACACACCACACACATACACACATACACAGACACACATAAACACACACAGAGACACACACTCACACATACACTCACACACATACGCACAGAGACACATATACACTCACCCACAGACATACACATATAGACACACACACACAGACACACTCACAGACAGACTTACACACACATACACACACATTCACTACACTATCTTACGGTGTATAAATACTTGTACGGGTCATGACGCTCCCTCCAGCCCTGACTCTGGTCTCTACCCGCCGACACGGCCATGGATGAAACACAGGGATAACACCAGTAGAACAAAATATACGGCATTTATTAAATACCTGTGACATGGGCTATATTCTCAAGGCAGAGCACGCAGGAAGAGATTACTCATTTCACAAAAACACCAGCTAATACCGAAAACATTAAAGACTGACATTTCCACAGCGAACAAAATTCTCTGTAAGCTAAAGTGAGAGAGAAACAAACCACAGGGTGTATAAACACAGTGATTTCAGCTGGCCCGGTGAAGGCACAAGGCACAAATCAAACCACGACCTGGTACGTCAGACTGAAGCTTGGAGATGTCTGGCCCCCGCGAGGACCAGCTCCACCCAGGGCTCCACAAACCCTGCGCAGATCCTTGGGCCCCAGGGGGCACAGCGTCCGCGCGCTGGGAGCCCTTCCCTTCCAGGCTCCCGCTTCCACAGTGGCCCCCCGCTTCCACAGGGCCCCCGCTTTCACAGGGGCCCCCCACTTCCACAGGGGCCCCCGCTTCCACAGGTGCCCCTGCTTCCACAGGTGTCCCCGCTTTCACAGGGGCCCCCCGCTTCCACAGGGGCCCCCGCTCCTGTGGACGGACTCCTCTGTACCAGAGAAATGCCACCTCTAATACTTGTACAGGTAAACAAAACCTTCACACTGTAACAAATGATCCTGACATGGATTTCAGATTAATGTCCTTTTTCCTCCCAACCAAAGTCTAGTAAAACAGAAAATAAACTGTGAGGGAATTCTCCTGACAGGATTTTAGGGTCTGCGCGGGAAACAAACGACCGTACAGTACAGCAGGGTGTGCTGCTTGAGCGTTTGAAACACGGCCTCGTACACCTCTCTCTCCTTCCTCCCCGGCGCCCTCGTGTTCCCTCGTATCTTGGAAGTGGATCAGAACCTCAGCAAGTTCCATTCTGGCTTAACTGTGTATGTGAGGGAGCAAAGGTCACTCTTTCCAGACCTGAAGAGTTCAGGGTCTGCGTCCGTCTGTGAGAAGCGCACTTATGCGGGGGTCTAGGTCAGGGTTCTCTTCATGCTTAACTCCAGGACTCTTGTGTACGGGGTGTAGCTCCTGGAAGGTATTGTGATTTCACGGGTCCTGGCTGGCTGGCTGAGAAGTGGGAAAAGCGGGTCAGGAAGATGAGACAAAATGCTCCATGCTCCTCGTGTGCTTAAGACAAGTCTAGGAGCTGGTTTTCAGCACTTAAAAAGACTGTAATAACACATTTTCCTATTTCATTTCACCATCACTGAGCAACCAGGGAGGCATTGGTCATTCAGTGATAGAATTCTCGCCTTCCGTGCAAGAGACCAGGGTTCGATTCCTGGCCAATGCACCTCATGCACAGCCACCACCCATGTGTCAGTGGAGGCTTGGGTGTTGCTATGATGCTGAGCAGGCTTCAGAGGAGTTGACAGACTAGGAAGGAAGGCCTGGCCATCTAATTCCAAAAACCAGCCAGTGAGAACCCTACGGATCCCGACGGTCTGATCCACAGTTGATCATGCTGCGCGCAGCAGTTTACTCTGCTGTGCATGGGTTGCCTTGAGTCAAGGGCCAACTCGACGGCAGTTAACAATAACAAAGGAGCCATTACTTGAGCAACTCCTAAAAGGCTGTGCTAGGCATCAATGACTCAGAAAAGCACAAAACTGCCTTCAAGGGACATAAATAATTTTAATATGATGTGTTAGGTGCCATGACAGAGACTCACAGAACGGTGCTGGAGATCTCTGTTTGCCCAGCCAGATCCACTCTGCCCCTTCGTCCTGCTCTGTGCCCGGGAAGCTGACCTGGGAGGTCTGTCTCATGGCCTGCTTTGCCCTTCGGCTTCCAGCTGGTTCTGACTAGTTGGGAGAGGCCAGCAAGGGAGCAGAGTGGGAGGACAGAGAGGTCAGGATCTTCCCCCCCCTGCCCAGCCAGGCTGCAGCTTGACTGCTGTTAAGTGGCATTGAGTCGATTTTCAACGTATAGCGACCCCATGTGACAGAGCAGAACTGCCCGGAGGGTTTTCTAGGCTGCTATGAGTTGGAATCGACTCAGTGGCAATAGGTTTGGTTTATTTGTTTTTTTGGTTAATCTTTATGGGAGCAGATTGCTGGGTCTTTCTTCCACGGAGCCACTGGGTGGATTTGAACCACCGATCTTTCGGTTAGCAGCCAAGCGCATAAACACTGCAGCACCAGGGCTCCCCTGCAGCTTGGTAGTTGGCTGCATTCCTCCACCAGAGGCCACAGCTCCCATGGGGCAGTCCTCTCCCCTCGTTCTCATCTACTGCCTTCTCCCAGCCTCTTCAGACCCAGGCTGTAACAGCGTCCACTGTTGCTAGCTCCAGAGTGTGTTTCCCTTACAGCCACTCGAGCGTTTGTAAACAGTGCCTTCATTTAACTCTTCAATCTTCCCTCTCTGCCAGGACGCCAAGCAATACAAGCATGAACATATTATGGGCAAACTGAGGGGAGAAGGGTTTAGCATCACCAGGAGCGCATGGGGAAATCCACGAAGGGAGGGTGGATCCTGAAGGACGCCTCGGCTTTCGTCAATCGAGCGAGGAGGAGACGGGGATTCTAGGCAGAGGGGACAGCAATGCAAAGTCAAGGATGAACATACCTGCCTTGGGCGTGGGATAGGTTTAGTGGGGCTGAAGCAAAGAGTTCATGACAGAAGTGGAAGAAGACGAGGCAAGTGAGACAGGTTGGGGCCCAGGGGAGAAGGTCCCCATGTGCCTCACAAGGAGTTCCGAAGGGGATGTTGTTGTTATTCTGGGTGGCCATTGAATAGATTCTGACTCACAGCGATCCCATGTGACAGAGTGGAACTGCCCCAGAGGGTTGTCTTGGCTGGCATCTTTACAGAAGCAGATCACCAGGTCTGTCTCTAAAGAAGCCGCTGGGTGGGTTTGAACCGCCACTCCAACCCTTCCGTTAACAGCCAAGCACTTAACCGTTGCACCACCCAGGGCTCCTTTCAGACGGAGATAGGGAGCCACTAGAGGTTTTTAGGGAGAGATGTGATATTTTTATTCTGGCAAGATGACTCTGGCTCACTGCATAGAGGCTAGCCTGGAGGCAAGAAGGTTAAACTCCTGCTGTTTAAGAGGCGAGAGACAATGAGAACCTGAATTATAGCAGTAGCGCTGGAGGTGAGGTAGCAAGGCAAGATCTGGGAGATAGCCGAGAGGTAGAATGAAAAGGATCTGGTGGCTAAGACAGCGACACAAACTCCATTTCTTTTTCCTCCTGGACACATAACTAGACTATACTTCTCCATCCCCCTTGCCATTAGGTGGGCCATGTGACCAAATGGGTGGAAATGATGCACAGGACTTCCACGTTTAGCCTGTAAAAAGCCTCCCACATAACCCTCCATGCCCTCTCTTCCCTTAAACACAGAGAACATGGTGGAGGAACCAGGAGGACTCCAAAGTCCAGGCAGAGTCCCTAGATGGAAGAACCCTGGGTTCCCAGATGACTGTGTGAGCAAAGCCCATGCCAACCTGGCCAGAAGTGTGACATGAGAGAAGTCAGTCTTTACTGCGCAAAGCCACTGAGATCGTGAGCTGCTTGTCACATTGCGTATCCTGACTAACGCAATGACCAGCTGGGTGCGTGAGAGACAAGAGTGAACTCTCTTTCCTCTAACTTCCCCTGTGAACCATTCACAAAGCAGGACGAAGTCTACCTCCTTAACAACTGTTCTGCAACTTCTCTTTTCTACTCCCTTAGCCACAGCCCTGGTTCAAGCCATCGTAATCCAGCTGTGAATTTTGGAATAGTGTCCCCAACGGTCTCCCTGCCTTCTCTCCAAATCCTATTCACTTTGCTTTCAAAGATACTTTCCCAAAAAGACAATTGGTGCATATTACTGTTCTTAAAACTCTTCCAAGTCTCCCCATGGCTTCCGGGCGGAGCACCAACTCCTCGGCATGGTCCAAGCGCCCACCACCATCTCCTTGGTATCTCCTGTCTGACTTTGCCGAGCAGCATACAGTTCCCAGAATTTACTACACTGATTGCTTCACGTCTCTCTGTCTTTCTTGTGCTGTCTCCACCGCCTTGGATATATCCCTAATCATACGGATTTCAAGACTCAAACCAAACATTCATGTCCTCTACAACACTTCCCCTGATCTTGCCCCGCTGGCACGCCCGTTCTCACCCCAGTGACAGAAATGATCAGTCCTTTATGCACTCACAGCTTCCTTGGACAGTGGTGCTCAACCCTGTGCTTCCACCAGGTTCACCTACACTCAAGTTTCCCATTAGTATCACCTCCCATTGCCCTGCGACAATTTCAACCAAAGCGCGGAGAGGAGACAGCTTCTTAAAGGGGCGGATTAGAAGCATGGGGAGAATTTTCAACTTCAAGGGTCTCCCTCCGAGAGATTCAGTATGTCTTCCTTCCTGCCGCCACCCTCCTACCATAACAGGCACCTTGAAAATGACTGTTACACAGCCTTCCAACACAGCCCTGGAAGCATCTTACTGCCCACAGTGGTCTGCTCATCTGTCTCCCCTACGAGGCATGATTTCTGTAAAGGTGTCAACCCCTCATCATTCATCTTCATGACCCCAGCAGTTCACATAGCCCAGGCACTGAGCTATCACTCCACAGATGGATGACAAAGGAAACCAGGGCATGAGAGAGTTTCGAGCAGGAGTGACTGGTCATAATGTCAACTGCCACAGAGCAGAGTCTACAGGAACTATCGATCGGGGGTCCGGGATGACCTAACCAGGCAGTTCAGTGGAGTGCCAGGGGCAGAAGCCAGATGGCAATTTATGCCAACCACTGGGAAATTTCCAAAGAACAGAAATGGTCTCCAGTGACAATATCCTAAAAGCATAACAAGAACAGAAACATTTATAAAGGTCGACCTTCTGGGCTTCAAAAATAGGCTCTCATATCCTTCTAGGAGAGGAAGTGGGATATGTTATTTAGTGAATCACCAGAAACAACAGGATTCTGGGCACACAGATCACCCAGCTACAGGACTGAAATTCAACCATCTTCTTTAACGCATTCAGGCTATTGTTAATTCTGTTTCTCCCTGGGAGACACAATAGTAGAATCAGCAAATGAAGCTTTGACAAAAAACAACTGTGTGTCCTCTGCATCAGCAATATATGAAAACACACACATTTTTAAAAGTACTTACTGTGTACCAGGCACTTATGACCATGAGGAATGTTTTTCATTAAATTGTACCTAAAACCAAAAAACCTGTTGCCGTCAAGTCGATTGTGACTCATAGCGACCCTACAGGACGGAGTAGAACTGCCCCGTAGGGTTTCCAAGGAGCAGCTGGTGGATTTGAACTGCTGACCTTTTGGTTAGCAGCTGAGCTCTTAACCATTGCTCCACCAGGGCTCCCACTAAGTGTACCTACTAAGAAATAATTTATGAGTTTGCTGCCTAAGTCCACAAGCCTTAGAACTTAGCGGGTATCTTTCATTCATTCATCCAATTAACGTTTATGGAGCATCAGCCAAGTACCAGACTAGAGGATGGTACCTAGGGTCCTTGTCACAAGGAGCTCACGGTCCTGGCAGGGACAGGAGAAACGGGGTGGGGGGGGGCAGTAATGAGAGGTGCTTAGTGGCTATGCAAGCAAAGAAAAGGCTGAGTTTGAATTGTCTCATCCCACCCCATTTTCTCAGCAGGACAAATCCACTCCCGAAGCCCACCTTTCTGCCAAAGATTAGACAGGACTATAAAACAAACAGTAACACATGTGAGGAAACTGCTTCTTACTTCAATCAAGTATACAAGACCAAATGCGCAACACCTGCCCCAAAGCAAAGACGAGAAGGCAGGAAGGGACAGGAAAACTGAACAAAAGAGAAACCGAGGTGGAAAGGGGAAGGGGGAGAGCGCTGACACATTGCGAGGATTGCAACCAGTATCACAAAACAATCTGTGCATCAATTTTTTTAAATGAAAAAGTAATCTGTGCTGTAAACTTTCACCTAAAAAACAATAAAAGAATTTTTAACAAAGTAAGTCAATTTAAAAAAAATAGAGTAGCTTTAACTGTTGTTGCTGGGTGCTATGGAGTTGATTCCAACTCATAGTGATCCCATGTGACAGAGCAGAACTGTCCCATAGGGTTTTCTTGGCTGTAATCTTTATGGAAGCCGAGTTGCTGGGTGGGTTCGAACCGCCAACCTTTCAGTGAGCAGTCAAACGTTTAACGGCTGCCCCACCAGGGCTCCTCAGTGCTAACTGACGTCAATGCAGTCAGCCACAGTACAGCAGGTAATACCTGCAGGCATGAGGGGAAACGAGCAGGCATGAGGGGAAACGAGCAGGCATGAGGGGAAACGAGCAGGCATGGGCTGCTCCACAATGAGGCTGTGTGCCCAGAACACAGGGGACCGTGCCGATTCTCAGCTGACAGAGACCTCGTCAGTCACCAAGCCTTCAGAGTTCTACGCACAGTCTAGGGGTTTCAAACCACTCATAGTTTAATTGAAGAGTTCGGTGCATCCTCTAGCACTACGCACTTGATTGGGGTATCAACCCATTTAATAAAATCACTAATTATCACCAATAAAAACTAAGTTAGTGAACTTGTCTCGGCATACCCAAATTCACTTGTGTTTGATACAGTGTTTAACATGTAAAATTAGTTTTGATTTAGATAATATTAGTAACAATAGTTACTAATATAATCAACTTTTTGTTTAGTTAATAAAAATATTATTAGTTAATAATATAAAGTGATTTATTTAATGCTTCACTCCAGTCCAGTTACTGTGCTAAATGCTTCACGCACATGCTTCCATTTAAGCCTCACAGCAACCCTATGAGGTATTGTCATTTTCAGCTCATCTTAAGGAGGAAGGGGTTGAGGCTTTAGAGAGCCTTAAGTAACTGGTCCAAGGCTGTGCTCAGCCAACAGCTGGGTGAGGTGAAAAACGGAACCCAGGCAGCCTGAGACACCCCACCGGACCACGGGGCTGTAGTGCCAAGCTCTTGGTGGAGGAAGGACGGAGGGTGAGCACAAAACCCTTCTGTATGATTGAGGTTCAATTCAATAATTTTATTGATCTAAAAGATGCTGAAAGAATCCGTTTAAAAAATATGCTGGAAAACATGATGTAATCTTTTATTAGTTCCATGCAAGCTTGAAGTCAAGTAAGAACCAGAAATTCTGCTAGCACATACACAGCACAATTCAGCAACTCTCTCTCTATTGTTTTAAAACTATACATGGAACGGCCGCGTGGTAGCAAGAACACAGCCCCAGGACTCTGAAGTTCTGGCTCCAGTGCAGCTTCCAGGGAATTACTTTGTCTCTGAGGGCCTTGATTTTTGTGTCTATAAAACATGGGCGTTAAACTAGACCAGAGGTTTCCAATTTGTTTGTTTTCTGCTTTAATATAGTTTTTAAAAAAAATTTTAATTACTGATTTTGGTGTAAGTTTACACAGCAAATTAGGCTTCCGTTGACAATTTCTACACAAATTGTTCAGCGACATTAGTTACATTTTCCACAATGTGTCATCATTCTCTTTAATGGCATTCTGATTGTTCCATTTCCAGCACTCTAGTTTCCCTGTCCCCTTATCTTCTCATCTTTGTTTTAGGGTAATTGTTGACCTTTGGGTCTTACAGAGATGGTCCAAATTGGTTTTGACTATAGAACTTGGCTTCAAAAAAATCTTACTTGGAATTCAACATATACGGCAGACTAAAAGGTAAGCTACTCAGGTAATTTTTGGGATGTCCTCACCAGCACTCCCTGGCTCCCACCTCTCCCCTATCCCACCTCCGCAGGATCCCAAGACCTCCCCAGGAGCTGTGGCTCAGAGCAAGGCAGCGCCAGGCAGCTCGGGTGAAAAGGTGCTGCGCTGACTTCTCTCTAAACACCCACATTCCGCACCAAGACTCGCGCTGCGTCTTTCACATAGTAGGCACTTCATAAATACTTGTGGGGAAACGAATGACATACTATACTACTCTGCCTTCTCGGAAACACGGATACGGAGTCCCCATTTCCTCTGCTGACTGACCTAGGCAGTTAAAGCACAAAGACAGATCCTGGGGGAAACCAAATGTTACATTTATGGAAAAAGCTGCTTTTACATACTGAGGTGGCTTCCAAGTTCACCGTGGCCATAAGTTACGGGTCTGTCAGCACTTCCATTATGAAAACCGCTTTGTGGTTTCATAACTTAGCCGTAAAAGTTTGCTTCAGGCTGTACTTCAGCATACAAATTGAAAAGCTTATTTTAAGCCAAAATGTGGGAATTAGAAAACAAACAATTTATTGGTTTCAGGCATAGTTCTGAACCCGACTTAGCCGAACAAGATTTATTATGTGGGCAATTAGTGTAGACTAAGCCACTTGGTTCTTGAAAAATAAAAAAGGGGGAAATGACCAAACTATTTCTATTTTACAAGGCATCCCTGAGCGCCATCCATCATTCTTTTTGGCAAGATTTATCATGTACATATACTATAGGCTGATGACACCCAGGCTCAATTTACATTGTCTTTTCCCTGCCCTTATTTTTTTTTTTAACATTTTTGTTAATTACATCAGGATGACAAAATTGCCTTGTTTTTCCCAAAAGTCAAGCAATGGAAATAAGAACATTGTCAAAGAGCTTAACACTGCTTTCAGTAAATTCTTTGAGAATGACAAGTGGCTCATTGGAATGAACAAAAAAGGAAACATCAGCTATGAGTAAAACTAGCAAGGTAAGGGGACACAGCGGTGGGGGGCAGTGGGGGACAGCGGTGGGGGGCAGTGGGGAGACAGTGGTGGGGGGCAGTGGGGGGACAGCGGTGGGGGGACTGGTAGAATTCACGCCTTCCGTGCAGGAGACCTGGGCTCCCTTCCCGGCCAGTACACCTCATGCGCAGCCACCACCCGTCTGTCAGTGGGGGTTTGCCTGTTGCTATGATGCTGAACAGGTTTCAGTGGAACTTCCAGACTAAGACTAGGAAGAAAGTCCTGGTGACCTACTTCTGAATGTCAGCCAGTGAAAACTCTGTAGATCACAACAGTCTATCCCACTGAGCACTGAGTAGCCATCAGGCCAACTCAAGGGCAAAAAAGCAACAGCAACAACACACCATGGTAGGTTGGAAGCGACCTGAGAAGTCACTGGTCAGACTTCTGAGTTTACAGGTTAGGAAACCCAGGCTCCTGGGATGAGAGACCTGCCTGCCAGTACTCTGCTTCTGGCAACTACAGTAAGAACCCGTGTTCCTTATCCTAAGTCAGTGGCTCATCACTGTTCCTTCCCACCAGATGGAACCATGCCAGCTTCCAGGGGTCTACGTTTTTCTGGGCTACTCATGCCTGACACAATACACGCATATGGTCCCAAATACACAAGAACAGACACTCCCACACACAGTGGGCCAGCACGTGGTGACGCTGATTACCTAAATCACATGCCACGTGAGATTAGGGTCCTTGGGGTAAACCTGTGTTCTGCCCTCTTTGGCCAAGCACAGTACTGAGCGTGTAGAGCCAGTGGGTCAGCTACCAAAGGCAGGTTACTGGGTCACAGCCTGTAACCTCACACAGAGGACACCCAGGCAAATAGGTCGGCCCTCCAGCTCGGCAATGCAACTGGGCGAGCCAGTCTATAGTTATCGAACATCTGCTCTGACAGCACCCTGCTATGGTACTGGGGTCAGAATCGTTCTGTTCAAAATTCAGACCCTCTCACCTCTATATTACTAATACACCTTGTAAGTCTCTCTCACAGTGTTATAAATGTCTGCTTACCTATCTGTCTCCCCCACCCAGGCTGCACTCTGGGACAGGAACCAAATCTCATTCCTCTCTATACCACAGCTGTCTGGCACAAGGAAGATACTCAGAGATGTTGAATGAATGAATGAATGAATGAATGCACTCACTAATAGGGCCAACCTCTCCCTAAAGTGGCTGCCCAGGTCTCTCCTTCGCTGTCCCCTCACCCTGCATAGTGCTCCAGCTTCCGCGGAAACCAGCAGACTCCTCAGCAGACACCACTTACCTTTACAGAGAGGTTTTTGATAGAAAAAATGAAATTCTGGTAATAAGAGCCCAATAAAGTATTTCTTAAGTCAAAGAGGAATTCGCGTCAGAAAAACAGGAAATTCCTGATACCTGGGTAGAAGGTCACAGCCCACGCCGACATCTCTCGTTTCCACATCGGTCTTGGGCTGGGTTTCTATTAAATAGTCCAACCTGCTTTGGAGTTCATTATTCTAGGGATGAGAACGAAAGGTACTTAGTAAAGCAAATATGTTTCCCCACAAATAGGTGTGATACAATTGATCTGCAGTATCTGGGTTTTTCCCGTGGCGCGGACATCTATGGCAACATATTTACTGAGCACCTAGAAGACCCTCTGGGGCAGTTATACTCTGTCACACGGGGTCACTGAGTCGAAATCGACTTGATGACACCTAACAACGACAAGCAGCCCATAGTAGATGTTAAAGAAATAGTCACTGAATATTGACGGAATCTTTACAGAGAGCTTTCTGTTTGTGTGGATACATATGTATCCAATTTTACATAAATGAAAAGAAACTAAATACCCTAAACTGTACTATAAACCGCTTTTTTTCCCCCACTAAACAATTGGTTGGGGTTATCTTTCCACGCTTATTAGTTTCATTTTTATGTCAACAAACTATTTTAATGCATTCATAGCATTCTATTATATGGACATATTTATTTAACTAGTATCTTATTGATGAGTGTTTAAGTATTTATCTTTTTTTTTTGCAATTATAAATGAGGTGCAGGTCAACTTTTAACACCCCCTCATTAAACTATAAAATGAGTAAGTCTATTAATTTTATTTAGTGGGAAATACCTCTCTAACTTAATAATTCCTTATTTCATAGGTGTGAAGAATTCTGAATCCCAAACGTATAAAGTAGAACAAGCCAATGGGGACTAAAATTAGCATTTTTGAATAGCTTTTTTCCAGGCCAGAGCCAAATATTACACAGTTTGATGATTAGATGCTCAGGAATTGGAAGTTTGCCCCATGAGGGAAATGAAGGTCAATGAAGCAAAAGAAGTGAAGATGTTGAAATGAAACAGATGAACGGAGGGTCTAGATTCCGAAAAGAGAAAACACAAACATTTTTCGTAAAAACGTTGATAGTGGTTATCTCTGTGTGTTGAGAATTGGGGTTTTTTTTTTTTTTTTTTAAAGTTCTTCTATACATTTTTATGTAATTTACTGTATTTTTCTATCATGAGGCAACAACCATGCCTATTTTCTTCGCTGTATCCTTGAAGCATGACACGTAGGAGATGCTCGATAAATATTTATTGAATAAATAGATGTATACATGTTTTACAACGAGCATATTATGTGCATAACCAGAAAAAAGTCGAGCATTTGTTTTTGCTTTTTAAAGTTGAAGTCAAAGTTGGAATATGATTCTGAGATACTAGTTACCACATGGAACTAGTGTTACTATGGAAACAGAAGCGCATCTGTTTTACAAGGAATATGGGTGATAGTACAATAGCTCCTGCTTTGAATGGCTGATTCCAAGGAGCGAGTGGCAGCTCTTATACAAACCTGTGTCCTGTAGAATGTAAAGGTCTACAGATCCCTTCTGATAAATAGGAAATGGTGTCAAGAAGAGAATACTTTCCAGCTGCCCTAGCAGACGACAAGCCACGGCAGATCTATGGCTCTGGGTCTATCACCTGGTTCTCCGTATGGGAGAAGGGTGCTGGCTTACAGCCAGGGAGACAACAACATCCATTCGCACACACAGCTTCCCCAGCAACATCTGGCCTCCCCATTCGCAAGGAAAGAGGGAGGCAGAAGAGGCCTGCCCTTTGACAAGCTCCGCAATCCCACGGCCTTATCCCTTCTTGGGGTAAAGACTGTAATCATGAGGATTTCACAGATTGCTGGGTCTGGGACCTACAGTTAGGGGGCATGAAAGACAAAGTTAGTTGGTATACAGTGAATAGTGGGGCAGATAGCCCAAAATCCTTGGTCCTATTTCATGAAAACTCTATGAGTGCACATCAGATACCTACAGAAGCACAGAAACTAAAATTTTTTAGACTCATGAAAATTTAATGCATCAGTAAAAAAAAAAAAAAAAAAAAAATTATTGGGTATCTACTATGTATCAGACCGCATGTGAAACTGGGTGAGGGACCATAGTTAGCACCTAAAGGGATGAGTGTGGCATGATTTCCAACCTGAGGAGCTCAATCTCATGGTAGGTATAGATAAGTAAGCTGAAAATAACAGAACAATGTGATAAATGCCATGTCAGGGGGGATTCAGAGGGGACACTTAACTCAAAATGGGGAGAGGAGCTGGATTGTCCATGAGGGGTTCCTGGAGGTAGTCAAGGGAAAGAGAGGAAGAAAAAGCCATGGGGATGAGTATTGCAGACTTGTGCAGACATACTGGGCTGAGAACAGGCAGGTGGGCGAGAGTTGGTTACCAAGGGCTAGGCATGCCAATACAAGGAGCTTACACCCTACCCCATAAAGGCAAGGTCAGAACTCAATTTTATTTTAATCACTTGAGCTCCCAAGTGAAAACTGGATTGGAGGGAAATAAGACTAGAGACAGGAAGACCAGTCAGGGAGGCCACTGCAATATCCTGCTGAAAGAGTGAGAGCTGCACCTCCAGTATAGAGCAGTGGGTGTTTAACAAATGATCCTCCTGCAAATAAAAGCTATCAACTCGGTACAAAAGACCAAACACAGCGACTGAGGTCTCTGGAAACTGAACAAAGATGGGCACATCCTGAAGGGCAGGTGAAACTTGGAGCCGGCGACAAGCGTAAAATGTTTTGTCTTCCTTTCGGCTTCTGTGTTTGTTTGCAGCTTTGCCCCGAGAGCAGCACAGCCATGGTGGTGGCAGCAGAAGGACGGTAAAAATTCAAGAGAAAGACCATCATTCTAGCAGAAGGGACCAGGAGAGGGAACCCAGGATAACCCGGGCCACCAAAAGTGAGAGCAAGGCCGAAAGAGAGAATCAGAGAAGGGGGTAACCCCAAATTCTGTATACAGACCATGAAAGTCTGGGACAAATGGAAAGAAATTCCCAGCCAAGGCTTAAAGATCCGTCCAGGTAGCCACCGACTTACAACACGTTTGCGTTTCGGTGAACCACACTTACCACCATCCGTTTGTTTCGTTTCGTACATCTTATCGTTAGGAATATGTTCTACTTACAGCGTTGCGGTGTATAGTTTGCTGAGGTTATCATTCTCAGATGTTCACTCACAGACGTTCAGTTTTGTGATTTACCATTCAAAACTGCTGTATAGATTTAATTTTCTAAACTAAATCAGGGGCTTCAGTTGCTTGAAACATGGACCCAAACACTGATTACTTTGCTAAAGTCGACAGGCAGATTTGGGGAGCAGTGAGATGTTACCACGTAACACATAAAGAAAACAAGAAAAGGACCACAGAGACAACTCTCACTAATTTTCTGACTAGAAACGCCATCCTCATTCCCAGGGAATCCAGATGATCCAGAACCTTCCACAAGTGGAGTTATTACCGCAACTGACAAAATGACACCGTCATCCAACTCTGCTTCTTTGTTGGAGTAATTTTTATGATTCATGTATTTTTTTGTGTAGGTATGTGTTAAAATATACCTGCAAGTTTATTGGAAATACGCTAATATTTCCAACCCCTCAAAGATAAATAAGGATAGAATTTATAAAGACACTGATAATAAAAGGCAATAATAATGTAAACAAACAGAAATGAGGTATTTGCCTTATGTCAGAACTGACTTACGACGCAGTGGTCGGAAAGGAGCCTGGTTGTGAACCGGGGGCTACCTGTACTGAGACCTGAGATACCACCCAGCACAGGACCGCAGGGTGCAGTTGGATCTAACCAACTGAGATACCACCCAGCACAGGACCGCAGGGTGCAG